AGTTAGAATTCATGATCCATTGGATCGGGTCCGAATGGCTCAGAGGTCTACGATCTGGCTCACTTTGTAACGAATCAGTAGAGAAAACTACTCTTGATTCTGTAAGTGTTTTACTGAGGAAGAGAAACAAAGTGAACTCTGCTTTCATTAAACACTTTGTAACGGTAAGAGATGAGAGACTAGGCAAAGGAATGTTTTTTTTAGATTTCGGTATCTCTACATAGCCAGATCTGTCTGTCTGTTTTCAACATAGAACTTTGCACCGATGTGCACCAGTTCAAGTCGCCATACTCCACTCCTTGTAGCACTCAAACCAAGAGAAGAAAGTAGAAGACATGTATAATAGAGACAGTAAGCAGAGATATCAGACAAAGGAAGAGTAATAACGAAGAACAATATAGTTTCATTGGAAATCATAAGTTACCTGGAGTGGATGCATCTGCACTAGCCAGCCATTGAGAACGATTTACAGCCATATCACCAATTGTCCCCAATCTGCATTGGTTTTTACCGTCCCGCGTACCTAAACCAGTCAGGAAATCTACACCTTCCTACATGACTACGTGGCTTAAACTAACTGTTGTGGATTTCATTGACTGGTGAAGCCATGTTTTGGTTTGACTGCCATGTGCTAGCTCTTTACCAGCCTGACCTTATGTCAGCTAACATAGCCCATTGTCGGGGAAGGTGATGACTAGGCGAGGCATACATAACACATGTCCTAACCATCTCAGTCGATGTAGCTGCATAACCTCGTCGATTGATTTCCCCTTTCTCCTTATCTAGCACTCAACGGATGCCTAACCTCAATATTGCTCACCTTATTATACCACTTCACACGGGAGATAGAACGCATCGACAAGTAGTGTACACCTTATCCTAAACTCACAGATCTCCAGTGTTGTGCTGCTTCTCGCCTTCCTTCAGATTGTGTCTGCTTGTGTTCAATTCATGTCTCACCCCCTCCCCAAGGGATCTGCTCAATGCTGTATCACATTTTCTTTCTGTGACATCAAATCTGTCTCCCTGCCATATGATGTGTTTATACTCTATGAACATCTCTTTATTTACAAGTGATAAATATTATTAGTAGCACACTTCCACAACTTTACTAAATTATACTTTGTTTAATGCATGTTGTTTTTATTCTTTTGGTCAAGTGTAATGAATAAACAGAAAAAGAATTATTTTATGTTTGAAAGCAATTCACAACTTAGCTCAAGGTGTCTTAATTGAGATTCTTAAGGCGTTAGCTAATAGTAGAGTGAACATGTAATGTAGTGTAATGAGAAAAGACTTAATCCATCGATTGCATATATATGTATGCAACTAGTGTTTATAGAAAGAAATAAGGTTTTCTTTGTTTTTACAGATTAAGGCGTTACTACATTTTTGTGCAACAGTGTTCAATGCACTAGTTTTGGATGCAGAGTATTCGTAGTAGGAAAAAAAAGATGAATTTTATGCCTATACCCTTTTTCATCAGAAGTTGTCAAACAGAGCTGTCCACAATGTGTCAGCGTGGTGAAGCATTCGCCGCCAGTCACACACGTGGTCCGAAGTTCGATCTCCTTCCTAGTGCACTCCTAAACCTCGCTTTGCCAGTAGTAAGCTTGGTAAAATCCGAAAGTGTGAAAGAGAGACTAGCAACCTCACCTCATTAAAAAAACACTAGTGGCAATGCAACTTCGAAACTGAAAGTTTAAAGCCTTATTTTCAACTGTCTTTGAAATACAAACGCAATCTAATGAAGTGTTTTGTCCGTCACAGAGCAAGAGCAATCTGCTCTGGTGAATGTCTTCATAAAGAGCTTAATATTATTAAACAGTTGCTGAGTGAGAATGAGCAGTCCGTTCCGTCCTCCTTTATGATTAGCTGTGAGACGTTGCCATTGAGAGTGGAAGACATGAAAAGATTAGCTGTCTTCCATCATAGGTGCCTGTGCCCTATCTTCCGTGTGAAGTGGTATAATAAGGTGAGCAATATTGAGGTTAGGCATCCGTTGAGTGCTAGATAAGGAGGGAGGGGAAATCAATCGACGAGGTTATGCAGCTACATCGACTGAGATGGTTAGGACATGTGTTATGTATGCCTCGCCTAGTCATCACCTTCCCCGACAATGGGCTATGTTAGCTGATAGGATGGGTCAGGCTGGAAAAGAGCTAGCACATGGCAGTCAAACCAAAACATGGCTTCACCAGTCAATGAAATCCACAACAGTTAGTTTAAGCCACGTAGTCATGTAGGAAGGTGTAGACTTCCTGACTGGTTTGGGTCCTCGGGACGGTAAAAACCAATAAGGGCTGGAGACAATTGGTGATATGGCTCAAACTCGTCGTTTTCAATGGCTGGCTAGTGCAGATGCATCCACTCCTTGTGACTTATGATTTCCAATGAAACTATATTGTTCTTCGTTATTACTCTTCCTTTGTCTGATATCTCTGCTTACTGTCTCTAATATGCATTTCTTCTACCTTCTTCTCTTGGTTTGAGTGCTACAAGGAGTGGAGTATGGTGACTTGAACTGGTGCACATCGGTGCAAAGTTCTATGTCGAAAACGGACAGATAGACTGGGTGAGAATGGTTACCCAGAAAAATCCATCGTAAAGAATATGAATCTAAAGCCGAGTCAAGCCGAAGTATCAACACATTTTTGAAAACAGCCTGATTCTTGCAATTTTAATTCCTCAGTGGTAACACCCATGTAACTATAATAATACAACGCTTAAGGAATGCAGTAAAAACAAAGAGAATTCAATGACACCGAAGTACTCTGTCTTTTCAAAAACACTCCTATTTTGTGTTCGAAAGGTAAATATAAACTACGTAATTTTGTGTCTTCTATGTGTATCCATCAATTTGACCGCTACTGTGGAAACTAATTACATAGGGTGTAGTACAGTTAGGCGTGTTCATCATCGGATTCCCTTAACATCATCCTGCGTGGTTAATTAAAAGCATAGGACAAACAAAGTCCATTCACATAGTTCTATTCTATCTCATCTCGTGGATGCACAACACAAAATTATTGTTAACAAGGCGACTTTCAAAGTCATCATAAAATAAAAATGCCTAAGAAAAATTGTATGTTCATCTAATGTCTTCTTCAATTTTCAATTGTTGACTTTTAGCTGCAAACTAGACCATTCACTTGATTACACTGACAAGTCAATTTATAAGTAGGTGTATTCTTTGATGTTTGAAAGGTAATTAGCTCAAGTGATTCATTTCGTTTGGAAACAGCATAAACTTTATAGAGCTGTCTGTCGTCTTTAATCGATTATTTCGTGATTCTCTACTACCTTACTTCTTGTAACCTGCTTATTATGACAATAACAAATGCTCAGATTAATAATGATCTCATCAGTGAACATGTTTTTTTATTATGGGTAAAATTTATTTTGATAAAGTCTTTCACAGTGTAATACAGTAGCGTTATGAGCACAATTCATCACTGCTGATAATCATATCAAGGCACTAATCACACAACTTTCCAACTTCGTTTATATAATTCCATCATTATTTTTCATTGCTTGACTTGATTGGTAGTAGTGGTATTTTCCGTATTTCCGGTATGAGTGATGATAACTCATGCCTATTGCATGTGTTGTGTTGGATGTAGACTCGATGAACCAGGCAGGATTCAGTATTCAACCTCTCTCTCTCTCTCTTCACCTTCCTATCCTCTAAAAGTCTTTAAAAAGATTAGAAAATGTCAAAAGAAACTAATATTAATAAAAATAAATAAGAGAGAATATAAGGCATCTACAGTTCTATCAAATAAGGAGTAAAGTAAATATTTCTTCGCTTAATCTTTCTGTTTTCTAAATAAGAAGGGGATATCTGAGACCCCCTCTGTAGGATTCTCAATAAAGCAGAAATTTGGGTGGCATTCAAACCTACAAACTTACTCAAGTAGGGCAAGCTCTGTAGGTTAAAGGTCTCGGTGGACTCAATTAGACAAAATAATGTAATTTACAAAATACCTTGCAATGACTGTGAGTTAAGACAACTACATTGGTTAAACCAGTAGATCAGGGGTAGTCATATGGTCGGAGCATAAGAATTCAGCTAAGGTAAGAATGGTTGACCCAGCGAAGATGAGTGATTTAGAAAAAATCTCAGCAATCGCAATGCATGCATTAACACAACCACACAATAGGGTGAGAGAGGGTTAAAATTCTAAGAAGTAATATAGGTAGGTGGGAAGACAGCTTGATTACTGAATCCTTATTCATCGAGTCTTCAGCTAATACGTGGAATAGGAATGACTCATCACTCATACCGGAAATATGGAAAATACTTCTACCAATCAAGTTAAGCGATGAAATGTAATGATGGGATTAGATATACGGAGTTGGAAAGTTATGTGAGATTAGTACCTTGATATGATTATGAGCAGCAATAAATTGTGCCCGAAACGTGATCATCAGTTAATATTACTGTATAACACACTGTGAGACTTTATCAAAAAAATAAATTCTACCCACTATGGAATTATACTCTACCACTGCAGTGCACAGCTTCTATTCTTATAACGTGTTTTTCCTTTGAGTTTTAAGTTTATTCTTTTTCAATGTAATCTCTCATTGATTCCACCAAGTTTTATGCGAAGTGGATAGCTTTTTTTTGTGTGTGTGTGTGTGTGTGTGTGTGTTAACAAACCAGCTTAACAATCCCACTAATAATTTGCACAGTTGGTTTTTTCTCTTTTCTCAGTTTTGTTACTAGTAGTTGTGATTGCATGTTGTCAGATAAAAATGTCTAAATATATTGTAGATATCATCTCTGATATGAGCATATTTTGTGTAAAACTGGTGATATTGTCTTATGAAACAAAGATTGTCTTTTTCTCTCTCTTGCTGTCTCTCCCTGTTGAATGGCTTTTATTCACACGTATAACGTATTTTTTTTTGATGAAACTATATATATATTAACATATCATCGACCTTTGGTTTAACAGAGTTTGTCTTCTCTTGTTTTTGCGCTTAAAATCTAGATGATCTTCAAAAAATCCTCATTGATGTGGCATGTATTCTTCTGGCAGAAGTTGCTGTCGATTGGGTAAAGCATTCTTTCATTACAAAGTTCAATGTGATACCTTCAAATGTGAGTTATTATTATTACTATTAAAATACACACTTGATACATTATATGGTCACGAATAGATGTGCGCCACTCGAAATCCCATAGTTTGTGCAAATAGGGTTGGAATACTGTCTGGATACCTAAATCGAAGTAGATGGTTGTCGCCTTAAGAGACTAACACCTTAGTAGTCAGTCTTTGACTTTTGAAGCCCTATCCACAAGGCAGTGGAGTTGAGTTACGTTCTCTCGTGTTTGCCGCTGACCAAAAGGGGGTTTTTATAAGCTATTTGAGTTTTTTAGATTCTGGAACCCATGTTGTGCCCCATCGATTTGCAATTAGAGCTTTCTAGCTGCCGTAGGGTGTGGCGTAGACCAACATTCCAAGCTGTCAGCTGTTTAAATTCACCCTATCACTTTTGCGAGAGACAGTCTTCCTCTCGTATAAAGGCAAAGCATAGGACTTACTTTGCAGAGTTGAGTTATGAACGAACGCGTGGCTGCATTTCTAGACAAACATCGATTGCTATTACCTCTGCTTTTCTAAAAATTATGGAAAAGTTACTCTTAATTAATCGTCAACCTTCATTTAAAGCCTTTAACGATCCCAAACAACTCGCCTATAAACACGGTAGAAGTGATTTAGATGCAGCTGCAGTCTTGTATCATACATAACATTGTCTCCAGCTTAGACAAGGGGGCTAAATTTGTTTCTAGATTGTGCATCTGCTTTTGACTCAGTACCTAGCGATATTTTGTTAAACAAGGTTGCTGAAACTCAAACTGACTGTGTTGGGTTGTCGAATGGCTGCATTCTTATTTCTCAGGAAGAAAACAGTACACTGTATGTCGAGGAAAGTCGCCCACTTCGTTGCTTACTGAGGCTGGTGTCCCTCAAGGCGCTGTCCTTTCTCCTTTTCTGTTTTCTTTCTTCTTGCATGGGACTTGCGTGTTGTTAACACGCTGGGATTAATTTAAATAATTTATAATGAATCAATCTGACTCGGCGCTCAAATTATTCCAGGAAATTCGTAACACCTACGGTCTGAAAACTTATAATCTTATGTAGTTTGTTGAGTGTATTTGCTCAGAGACTGTACTTGCTAGCTGCTACCCCCCCCCCTCCCACTATGCAGTTTACGCATCTGAATATATTTTAAGTTCTTATTTAAGTGTGTATCTGTTTTTTCTGTCATACTCACATATTGTGCACTGTACGTGTGTATTGTTACAACTAAGACATGTCCAATGAAGGCAGAACATTGTCACTTTCTAAATATTGTATGCAGACTTAGTTACTCACATTAGATCAAGTAAAAATTGTAAAGAACTTAGGCGTGGCGTGTTGGATAGTGAAAGAAAATCAATTCATGAGAGTATGAAGCTAAGAGACATGTTACACAAACAAAGCTAGCTACCTTGTCTTTCAATGAACTATGTTGACTAAAGCCGGTTGAGTTTGAAGGGTGGAAGTTAGTCAGATGGAAACATGGCACAATTTCATGCAACAATCAACTGTTTGCTTGGGAGAGCCGTTTAGGGTTCTTCGAAATGTTAAGAATCAGTGCTGTGGGAGGATGCATTGACCCTATGTCGTTTTTCAGGTCTTGGAAGTGTTTGTTTACCCACTTGCCCCACTCCCGCAATTTATAGTTAACGATTCTAGTTGCGTAATCTCCAGATAAACTAATAATCATTTCTGTCCTTTGCATTAATTGGTGTAATGATTTACAGAGCTCAGTTTTTGTTGTAATTATATAGGGTTAAGATATCATTCTACACACTGGTTCTTGAACAGTTTCTGATTTGTATTCAACAGAACAATGGGATGGTCACTTATTTCTCCATTTTTAGCAATCTACAAATGGCATGTTTGGCATGCGATTCGCTCTCGCCAAATGCAAGATGTGTTACAGGACTGACTGGACTACACTGAATCCTAGTTTAGAAATAGGGAGTGAAGTGGTTGGTGGAGCGTGTTGACCGCTTCACTTATTCGGGAAGTACCATCAACCAGTGCCAACGGATTGATCTCTGACGAAATATCAGCACGGATACAGAGGGCTAGTTTCGCATATGCCAGTTTACGCCGTCTCTGGCCTAGTAGACGTGATATCCGGCTGATTGGCTGTCGACCAAAGGGCGGGTATACTGCTCACCAGCTCCCTCCGTCCTCCTTTATGGCCAGCTGTGAGACCTGGCCATTGAGAGTGGAAGACATGAAAAGATTAGCTGTCTTCCATCATAGGTGCCTGTGCTCTATCTTCCGTGTGAAGTGGTATAATAAGGTGAGCAATATTGAGGTTAGGCATCCGTTGAGTGCTAGATAAGGAGAAAGGGGAAATCAATCGACGAGGTTATGCAGCTACATCGACTGAGATGGTAAGGACATGTGTTATGTATGCCTCGCCTAGTCATCACCTTCCCCGACAATGGGCTATGTTAGCTGATAGGATGGGTCAGGCTGGAAAAGAGCTAGCACATGGCGGTCAAACCAAATCATGGCTTCACCAGTCAATGAAATCCACAACAGTTAGTTTAAGCCACGTATTCATGTAGGAAGGTGTAGACTTCCTGACTAGTTGGGGTACGCCGGACGGTAAAAACCAATAAGGGTTGGAGACAATTGGTGGTATGGCTGGCTGGTGCAGATGCATCCACTCCTGGTAACTTATGATTTCCAATGAAACTATATTGTTCTTCGTTATTACTATTCCTTTGTCTCACATCTATGTTTACTGTCTCTATTGTGCATGTCTTCTGCTTTCTTTTCTTGCTTTGTGTGCTACATGTGGGGAGTATGGTGAATTGAACTGGTGCACATTGGTGCAAAGTTCTATGTCGAAATCAGATAGACAGACGGACAGACAGACCACTTTTGTCACTTTTAGAGATATATCTACCTTTTAAGATTTTCCCATTGTGTTTCTTTTTTTTAAATATTCATTTAAAAGATTCAGATATTAGTGTGACACACTTGTTTCCCAACTTACTTCACATCTTGATTTGTAAGCAGGCATGAATGTGCTTCTGATTAATTGTTATTGATAATACGATCAAGCAAAACTCTGAGCTATACAAATCTAATACGTTCACAGGGGGAACTATTTTAATCATTTATCGTTAACATCAGTCAAACACAACAATGATAATTCACCGTCACACGAAAATATAAGTGAGAAGATGAATAGTCGGCCAGGAGAGTTTTTTATGTGTCTTAAACAATGGTCATAACATTTTACATCAATGCTGGATACAAATATATATATATATATATATATATATATATATATATATATATATATATGGATTCTAAAATATCTTGACAAGCATTAAGTCAACTGATAATTTGAAGAATTAAAAGAGGACGATGAGAGTTCCGCTGTCAGAGATAATTGAAAAAAAATGTCTATAAAAGACTGTGTGACAGTGTGACAACTGCAAAGTATGTGTATTTCATGGTTGTAAACAGAGATAACAGATCCTGTTTATAATATTTGCATTTCTATGGTAAAAGCATTTGTGAATGAGCCGATGATTCATACCACATCGAAAGTCAATTGTTTTTTTTTAGAAAACTGTACTGGGCTGCTCACAAGAGAGTGTTCATGAACTTCTTTGATATTTTGGTAGGAATTGGGTCACTGTGATACACTTTGAGGAAAGTATCTTTTGTAATTATAACAAACACAGTGTACGTGCGCAATAGTACTCGTGAGTTTTTACATCGTTTTTAATAAATTTCGACTTTCGACAATTTCACAGTTATATATATGCATATACACGTATATAATGTCTTTATCGTTTACTCATTAGGTCTATGAGGAATACACTGTGAGCATTGCGTACGATTTATTGTTATGTCGTCAAGGAAAGGTAAGTAGTCTGTTAGTTATTTGAAATATGATATTATCTATTAGTTTATTTCGTTAATAGGATAAAATGATCCGACTGTCGAATGATTTCGACGTCTCATTTAGATTTAGCTTAAGAGTAAAACAGTCTCCTCCTTTCTGTAAATCATCCGCTTATTGTTGGTAATTCCTTCTTGCCGACTGACCATTTGATCTTCAGTATGGTGTCAGGGAAGATAGCTGTTGATGAATCCTGTTAGAAATCCTTTTCGTGACTGACACACACACACAGTGGACGTTTCTGACCCGTATAGAAGAAGTGACTGACTGACTGACTGACTCACCATTGGTGTTGAACAGAATCCGAATCTTGTTGTTTGTGGTGGATGAGTGAGTGGCGAAGATTATCAAACTGGTTTCAGGTTGATGAGCGTGTGTCTTTCCTTTCCGATTCTGACTGGCTGGTTAGTTTTGACATCTTCATTCGTTATAAGTTGGTTTTGGTTGAAACGATGCTTCCTAGCCGGATAAGTGAATGAAGTAATCTCTGTCAAATCTCTCTCGTTAATGGTGATTGGGGTTGATTGTTTTAGTTGTCGGTTGGCTATTTTCATCACCTCTATCTTTTCTGTATTCACTTGAAGTTTTGTATTTGGTACTCACCTCTTCTGACGACTTTCTGGTTCTCACTTGTAAGTCTTTGAGATTGTTTTCACTTTTATTCTTCATTTATTCAAATGCAAAGTTTGCAGATTATGTATTTATTTTTATTATTGTATTACCTTACGTTCCCTGTGTAACATTGAACATAAATCCTCCATGAGCGAAATCCAGATCTTCTAGAGTATTCTTATCAGGTCAACATATGGTTGCCTTCTTGCCCCTTTAGAGTTGTGTGCACAATCTATTCCAGTATCTGTTTGTATTTTCCGTCGGTGGCACAGAGGTAGAATGCTCACCAACCACGCAGGTGGTGGTCTTCCTATCCGTTAGTCCAACGTTTTCCTACCTTCTCACTCCTATGCATAGTCTAACGCATAATCCAGTCCACCACAGTTAGGAATATCATCGGTGATAGTTGTCAGCCAGCCAGCCAGCCCTGTCTTACTCCTGTGTTCACTTCGAACTCCTCGGTAATAATAGACTATTATTATTATTATTTTATCCTTTCATTCCTAGAGGAATATAGGGCTTCAGCGGCGCGTCTCTATTGGGTTCGGTTCTCTGCCAACTTTTTCACCCCGCTCCAAGTCTGCCCACACGCTTTCATTTCCTCTTCACATGACCTCCTCCGAGTCACCCTTGCACTAACGACCAACTCACTCCTTCCATTTCGGGTTCCACTCAAGGGTTGTCTAGTGATGTCACTTGATGGTTTTCTCATCTCCGTTTCTTCCTGCATATTTGTTGCACAATCGGTTCCTGCTGGGTTGGTTCGCTCCCAGAGATCTCTGTTGCTGATCTTTTCTGGCCATCTGATCTTGAGTATTCAGCGAAGACAACTGTTGATGAAGGTCTGTAGTTTGTTTGAGGTGCTCTTTATGACGCGTCAAGTCTCTGATCCATATAGTAAGTAGCACTAACTGGCTTCACATTGGAGTTGAAAATCCGTATATTATTTTTTTTGTCATGCTGCGTGCTGTTGACTCCCACACAGACTCAAGAGTAATGAAAGCTTGCCTTGCTTTTCCGATTCTGGCTTTGATACCCTCGTCAGTTCCGCTGGCCTGTAGTTGAAACGATACTTCCCAGGTGTAGGTAAAGGAGGTCGTTTCTTTCAGGTTCCTCCCATTTATGCTGATTGTTGCTGCTGTTGGTATTGGCCAGGAATCTTCATCACCTTTGTTTTCTCTATGGTCACCTGAAGTCCTATCTCCTCTCGATGCTTCTTCTGCCAACTTGTTGCTTTTCACTTGCATATCTTCTGCTTTGTGGGAAATCAGGCATATATCACCGATGGAATCCAGATCCTTCAAGGTTTTGTGTGGGTCCATTTTATGCCTGTTTCCTCATTTCCCGCTGTCTGTCGCATTATCCAATCTGCTGCAATCAGGAAAATCATTGGTGATAGTAGACAGCCTTGCCTCACTCCCGTCGTCACTTCGAAGGATTCTGTAAGTTTCCCGTTTTGGATTACTTGGCATGCAGCATTGTCGTACAACTGCTGGATGAAATGTATAATTGTCAATGGCACCCCGTAGTAGCGAATTAGTTGCCAAATCACCTCTCGATCGACGCTGTCGAAGGCCTTTTCAAAATCGATGAAGTTGAGATAGAGAGGTGACAGCCATTCCAAGCTTTGTTCAATGATGATCCGTAGTGAGGCGATTTGGTCAATACATGACTTGTTTCTCCTGAGTCCGGCTTAATAATAAACAAATAATAAAAAACTAAATTTTTTGTATACACTATTTTTAATGATAACTGTGGACAAGTTCACCTGTCTGGCCACATATTTTGTTATTTAAAAAAATTTAATTAGTTTCAATCTACCATTTATAGTTCTAACAAGTTTTATTATTTTATGGTAAATACTTCATTCATTCTCGACAGTACTGAAAATCAGCATACCACAACATTATGGGTATTGTTCTTTTCACAAAATATATACGTATCTGCGTCGGTGGCACAGCGGTTATGACTCTCGCTGACCGTGCACATGGTCCGGGGTTCGACCCCCTACCGACGCACACCTGATGTCTGTGATCGGCCTGCAAAATTTGGGTTACCGATATCACATGCTGAAAATTCCATAATTGTACCAAAAATACAGTGTGGAATCAAAAATAAATTAAAAAAATATATAGTCATATGTTGCAATTAGTAGTGTTCTCTAAGCTGGTTGGTTTAGTTGCGGAGATTTCTTCGTCCTTCTGAACAACATCTTCAGCGCAGTTTTCAGCATAAACTGAACTGATTTAAATTTTCCATGAGTGATAGAATTGCGCCTCCCGGTAACCATCTTTACATATGTATTGATCATTTTCTATTGATTCAGATTTTGAAGTTTCTCGTCACATGACTTTTCTTTTATTAGTTGGTATATTTAGTCTATATTAACATGTTTGTTAATTGCATATTCAAAAGAATGGATACTGAACAAAGAGTACTCTTTTCGATAACTTCATCATCAGGCTCTACAGTTATATATACGTTATAATGAATGAATGAATTGAAGTGTACCATAAATGTAAACTTCAAATTTGACAGCACGTTTTACAGGTAAGTGGACGGCGGGGGTGGCGTTGGGCTCTCCATTGGGTCCCATTTTGGCTGATTTCTTTCTAAGTAAGCTAGAAAATGGACCTTTAAACAGTCCTCTCAGTAAGTTCTCATTTTATTGCCGGTATATGAATGATACCTTCATCCTTTGTGATAATAATTCGGATAGGAATACAATAATTACTGAATTCAATGAAGTACATTCGGCTATGAAATTCACATGCGAAAAGAAATCCCAAGACAGAATTGCCTTCCTGGATGTCCTCCTTACAAGAAAATCAGATGGTAGCATATAAAAAACAAATTTGCATAGGAAAAGTACATGGACAGGACAATACACACACACTTTCACAGATTCGTTCCTATCAAGTACAAAAAATATTTCGTGAAGACCCTCACCCACAGAGTTAGTTGGAGCTATATGCTCAGAAGAACTAATTCAAGATGATTTAAGCATTGTATATGATACTTCGATCGAAAATAGCTATCCCGAAGAAAATTCATCAAGAAACACATGACAAAGAAAGCGGCGGAAAAGGACTACTCACTATCTGTAAACAAGAAGCCACTTTCCATTATGGGTAAATTTTGTTTTGATAAAGTCTCACAGTGTTATACAGTAATGTTTACTGTATAACACTGTGAGACTTTATCAAAACAAAATTTACCCATAATGGAATTACACTCTACTGCAGTGCACAAGTTTTATTCTTATATCAAAGAAGCCACTTTATATACGACTGCAATTCAAGAGCGGTATACCAAGTGAGATAATTACGAGGAAATTGAGAAAATCAGTTTAAAGAACTTTTAATGCTGGCGAACTACACGTCTCATTCTCTACATGACCGATGGTGCTACCTCGACTGAAAGATGAAGTACCTAGACTAGCTGGCCACTTCAAACTGTATCTACCAATTCAACTGCGTTTGTGATGAAGTGAGTTATATTAGTCGTTGCTCTAGGAACCTGATTTTTCGTGCACGCTCGAGAACATCTCCCACTATGGCTAAGTAAAGGTGCAGTTAAAACCATTAACAGTTCGATATTGGACCATCTGGTGCAAACTGGCCGGACACAAAGCCAGCCAGCATTGAAGAATGCTTCCCTAAAATCTACCGGGTGCCTAATAAATTGCCAAAATCATCGAAGCATCGCATGCTCCAAATAGCACAGGCTATCGCAACTCGCCTCAAAAAACCAGTGTTCCGTGTTCAAAAGAAGCAAGTACAGCTAGCCCCTACTACTGCCCTTCCTGACCGGCCTTCAGTAGCGACTATAAATTAATGAATTTGTATTATTATTTCTCCTAATTTTTCTTACATTCATCTTATTTTGTGTTGATACTATTGAGCTGTGATCTATCAATGTTATTGATTCGATGTTATTTAAACAACAATAATGATGTTCATAACACTAATTCATTCAATCACTATAATGTGAATATAACTGTAGAGCCTGATGATGAAGGGGTTATCGAAAAGAGTACTATTTGTTGAGTATCCATCCTTTTGAAAATTGCATATTCGTTTTGAGTACCAGGCTTCTAGGAATTTCTAGACTGCACTTTTGATGTTTTCTCTCTCTCTGAAATTTCGACATGATCTGCAACTAAACCAACCAGCTCAGAGAACACTACTAATTACAAGTCATCCACCTATATCTTCTCTCTATTATTTCATAGTCATATCTTATTGATTTCACATTTCAGTACTAATGATGATGTTGCTACTTTTATTTTATCCCCCCAAAATCATCAGTAATTTTTTTTAACTTTCAGAATACATCTGATCACTTTGACCTTCTTTCACGTCGTATGGGTTTAACTCCGATACCTCTCAGTTGTTTGATCAATGCTATGTTATATCAAACAATACGAAATCCTAGTACTCTTTGTTTAAGTCTACCGTTTGTCATCTCTGTGTAAGTAACTTTTTTGTGCTGTACTGTTATTGAATTGATTTATAATTTTGCCTTCTTATCACAAGAAAAGAGCATAGAAAGCAACTATAAGGGAGTTGGGTGGGTGCTGCGTCGAACGCCCGAGTATCAACCCTCGTTACTGACAGTGATGTGAGTATAGAGCGTATGGTTCGTGATATGTATGATAAGGAATTCCACGACAATAGTTCTGTGGAAAGACAGCGGTCTGATGAAGATCAGAAGGCGGCAAAATTGGTTGATGAAGCCTGTACGTATGAGAACGGATGATTCTTTGTGGGATTACCGTGGAGGTCCGAGGATAAACAGACGGTGTGTAACAGAGAGGTGGCTATGAAGAGACTTCTGAGTTTAAGAAAGAAATTACTAGTAAATTCAGATCTGTGAACCAAGTATAAGGAGGTCGTTGAAAAGCACATTACTAAGGCTTACGTGGAAAGACTGGTTAATCAGAATGAACCAGGCAAGTGGTATCTACCTCATCACCCGGGCTTTAAACTCAAGAAACCCAGCAAACTTCATGAAGTCTTTGATTTCTCTGCGAAACATGGTGTTTCCTTGAATGAAAGTTTGTATAGTGGCCCGACTGCGTGGGATTGCTGCTAAGATTCAGAATGTCTCCGGTTGCCATTGTAGGGGACATAGAAGAGATGTTTTTACTAGTAAAGGTGCCAGAGCGTGATAGAGACAATTTAAGGTTCTTGTGGTTCGACGGTGACCCTCACACCAGAGTATCCGAATATAGGATGACTGTTCACCCGTTTGGTGGTGCTATATCATCTCCGTTTTGTGCTAACTTCGCTCTACGTAAAGCAGTGTCCATGTTCGGTTCCCCTGAATTACTAGATGTTGTTGATCGTTGTTTCTATGTAGATAACTGTTTAGCATCCTTTGACAATACTTTGTCTGCGATCAGCTTTGCCAAGGCTGGGTTTCGTTTGACAAAGTGGGTCTCAAACAGCTTGAAGCATATAAATCCAGAAGATAGAGCACCCGCGGTGAGAGTTCTGTCCGTTGATACTCTTATAGTCAACTGAGTATCATCAAGTCATGAAAATAGCCTTAATTAATTAATAATAAATAATTTTTCCTTCACGTTCCCAGTGGAACATAGGGCTTCAAGCTAGTGGCTTGAAGTTTCTGTAGCAGTGTTTATTTTTTACAGGATGGCGTTGCTAGCCACATGTCCAACCTTTCCTCTTTACCAGCATTGTTTCTGGCTTAGAGAGGTAAAGGAGTGCGTCAGTGGCCGGGGACCGAACCCCGGACCATGTGCATGGTTGGCGAGCGTCCTAACCGCTATGCCACCGACACAAATAATAAAACAATAATTACAGTAAAATTACATGGTAAAAAAGGAAGAGAAATTAGAATAAGAACGTTGCTCTGGCCACTGTAGGGCGAGAAAATGTATGTGGTGGTTTTGAATGCAGAGGTGGTCCAGTTTCAGATCCCGAATAGCCAATGATTCAACTGTGTACAGATCAGATGGTGTATTCGATTTCCTTCCGTACGATATTGAGGAACTATGTGTGTGTTCGATGTCCAGAGTTAACAGGCTGGGCGTTCAAGGATGGAGCTGTTACTGTTCGTCTTTTCTCCTCTAGCTAACTGAGCTGGACAATATCTTGCAGAATACAAAGAAAAATTCTCTCTTTACTGTTAACGTCTTTTTCTTAATAATACTTTCGACTGTTTGACTCAATGAACCAACTTTAATTTCTTGTTAACAATTTTAGATTATTTGCAGTCAAAGTTGTAACAAATCTTACATTAATGTCTATGGCTTACTCTCATGTACGTGAGTACATCAATACTGCCAGTGCTAGTCAGACAGAAGAAAATTATTCTTCATCTAATGATAACAAAACAGCAAAACCTGTAGGTGGTGATATCCATACAACAACAAGTTCCGTGAAGAACACTAGACAAGACCAACAAACTCATGAAACAGAAGCGAAAGAACGTAAATTGTCTTTAAGAAAGCCGCCTTTTAATTATAATGGTTACGATCAACCAACTAGAGATGAGGAATACTTTCTACCGATGGGTCTACGACACAGACGAATTCGAAGTGATTCTGGTCCAGTGGATGTTATGGCCAATGTTGATGCAGTTCATTCGTATACTTCAGAAAATTCATCAGAATATGTTGGAAGTAAAGTTGTAATGTCAAGTCCAATATCTACTGGTCTTATTGCTAATGAATTGGTTGAACCATACTATTCAATTATGGCATCGTCAAATGGTACTCCAAAAAGTTTATACGATTTTAATGAGTTAGCTCCCTTGAGTAAGTAGTCAGTCATTATTTTCGCTTCACCAATGTAGTATTCATCCTTGATCTGTCTGTTTTCGACATAGAACCTTGCACCGCTGTGCAGCAGTTCAAGTCACCACACTCCCTGCTTGTAGCACACAAATCAAGAGAAGAAAGTAGAAGAAATGCATATTAGAGACAATAAACAGAGGTGTGAGACAAAGGAAGAGTAATAACGAAGAACCACCTAGTTTCATTGGGAATCACAAGTCACCGTTTCGGGTGACAACTCTCCGTAAGCCCTCACCTGGCTGCTTGAGTTCGAGTAGAGTGCCTTAATCAGTGCAATGTGTTTTCTCGGAATTCCCTTCACGGCTAAGCATCGCCAGAATACCTCTGGGGTCGATAGAATCGAATTCCGTGTTTAGGTAAAGAAATATAATGATTGTTGGACGCTGGTAGGAATTCCTATGTTCTATAATCTGTCGGAGGGTGAAGATATGACCAATACACCCTCTTCCTGGTCTAAAGTCTGCCTGGCTCTCCCGTGTTGGTGCCTCCCGAGCACCACTTAGTCTACGTATGATTATTGAGCCTAAGACTTTGATACTATATTAGTCGAGCTAATCCCTCTGTGATTATCACAGGAAGACTTGTCTACCTTCTTGTATATCGGGATAATCAGTGACTTACACCAACCCGATGGGACTTCCTCTGATTCCCAGACACTGCGTAGAACCTTAGTTAATGCGGACAGTAAACTGTCTCCATCGTACTTAAATACCTCTGGAGTCATTCCACGAGGTCCCATTGCTTTGCTTTGTTTCAGATTAGTGACAGCTTTAGTAACCTCAGTTAGGGATGGAGGACCTGTGTCTATATCCCATTCAGGGAGGTGTTGGATACTCGGAAGGTTGAGCGTGGCTGTGGGCCAATTAAACTGCTACTCATGGTGCTCTTTCTAGTCGTCTATCCTGAGAGCTAATTATGGTGACATTTTTCTCTGAGATTCTTTCACTTATCATTTGCCTTTTACCACCTATCATCCTTGATCACTGTTTATAATCACCCCTTTTTGCGTATTATTTTGTATTTTAGCACCTATAATGCCTATGGACTCAGTACATCGATTATTAACTCCTGGAAATATGAAGTCAGAAGTGGAATGTGATCGTAATTCTTATGAATCAGCTTTATTCCAAACAGAAGATAAATCTCTTTTTGCTGCGTATATAAATCCACCAACCACTACACCGCCACATCTTGACAGACATCGAATGCATAGTAGATATGATCTATCTAATGTCGTGTGTTGTACTGAGACACATGGTGACAAAGATGATGCCTTCACAACAATCCTAAAACCTCAAAGTGTATCTTCTCTAATAAGACCAAGATACTACAGTATTGATCTAGGTATCCTGAATAATTTCATGAAATTTATGGAAAGCAGTACACGGGTCACCACGAATGAAATACCAAGTAACAAAGATAATCCTCAACAAGATGAATCAAGAGTTGCATATCTACCAGATCCTACACGTAAACGTCGGGTGCGTACAATGACTGAAGGTTCAGCCAGTGCAACCTCACCTCCAGTAGATCCTACTATACCAATCCTTTGGGAAAGAAGCAGTCGAAATAGTACTGTCAATCAATTTGGTTTGGATCAGCTGAAACCGACAACTTCTGGACGCGTAAAACAACCATTATCTGATATTGATCGCTATTCCATGGTAGAGGGACAAATCAGCTAATTTACGCTGTAAAATATGATGTGTTTTTTTGTATTTATGTACAGTTTATAAATTGGGAAAAGCTTAATCAATCATTCTCTTTATTTTTTCTGGGGATGTCCGGCTGCCTTTCATCCGCTATTAGTGTGAAAGATTATAATTGACAAGAAGAGTCTCTTTTCGGAGGTAAATTCATTTTCATTGTTGTACAATCGCAAATATACATGATTATTTTGTGTGCATGTGTGTGTATATATACATTAAATTTGTCAAACGAAAATACAATTAGTAAGTTCAGATGAATTGGATGTTGATATAAGAGGATAGTGTAACAAAAGTAATGAGTTGTCACAAACGACTGTTAAAGAAGAGTTACGTAATGGCGTGAATAGTTTAGTGAAAGAGTTGTGCTCAGAGTGAACATGGAAACAAAATAACATACGGAATTAAGTAAAAGTTTTAAGTGGTTAGAAAAATAAACATACAAACAAGAGTTAAGTCAAATCAACGGAGTTGTTACCATGATAATAGAAGTCGTTGAATAATTTTCTTTGTATGCACAGTTCTGGTTCTTCCAACTGAATGGCTAGGGCTTCTGCGATGCAAAGAAGACGGAATCATGCTATCTTTGGAAGGTTGTTCTTCATTTTGTAGATTACTTTGAAGGGGGCGTTTGTTGAGATGGAATGACCAGTGTTGACGAGATTTTCGATTATTGCACTCCTTATACGGCCATTACTTCCTTTCTGCAGCCACGCTGGATAGTGTTCTTTGACCCTTTTTGACAGGATACGCGTTGAACGACCGATGTACCTGGCTCCACAGCAACAGGAGAACTGATATATACACATAGAAGTGGTCAGGTGCGGAATCTTGTCCTTTGGGCTTCTGCAGATCAGCGGGCGACTGGAAAACACTACTCTTAATTTTGCCGCAGGGAAAGTTTTTCCTAAAGAGGTGGAAATTCTCCTTCTGAGGACGTCACTGAGTAGGTCTCCTTTGAAGTTCAGGTTCATTATAAAGTATCTTTTTAGGCACGGATGGTGTCTTTTCCTTTTGGATTTTTCGTTTGATGTTTTTGTCAGCGAATCTTGATGGGTAGTCATTTTGTATGAAGATTTCTTTCAGGAAGTTTAGTTCTTCTTCCATGGTGTCAGAACTGCAGATGCGTCTGACGCGAGTGGCAAGGGATTTAATTAGGTTTCTTTTCCGACTGATTGGAAGCCACCTGTAGAAGCTTGTTAATTGGCCGTTCCATGTGAGTTTCCTATGGATGGACCTTCTTAAAGTTGTTCCGTCACCTCTCCTTGTAAGTTCAACATCAAGAAAAGGGATTTTAGATTCGTTTTCAATTTCTAGAGTGAACTTTGTGGCTGGATGGCATTTGTTGAATATTTGCAGTAATTGATTGAGATTGTGACCATCATCACAAATGATAAAGATGTCGTCCACATATCTAATATATAATTGGAAATTGTCAATGGTTGATTTGAGTGGGCCGTTCTCGAGGCTTGCCATGAAGCAGTCTGCTAGTGATGGCCCCAGTGAAGATTATAATTGAACTTTAGAGGTGCATACGAGAAGCCACGTAACACGATGCAGTGATAATTTTTATCCCATCATTACTGACGAATGTATGGCTGGCTGCCTATCAGGTGAAATTTTTGAGCGGAATATGTTTGTGCATATTTTCGTACTTCAAACTGTATGAACCTCGAACACCATTCTAGTTGCATGTTAAGTCTTTGTTTTTAGTCGTTTAAAAATGCCCATTCAAGTTTTTCAAAAGAATGGATAGTGAAAAAAGAGTACTCTTTTCGATAACCCCTTCATCATCAGGCTCTACAGTTACATTCACATTATAGTGATTGAATGAATTAGTGTTATGAACATCATTATTGTTGTTTAAATAACATCGAATCAATAACATTGATAGATCACAGCTCAATAGCATCAACATAACAATAAGGTGAAAGTCAGAAAAATTAGGAAAGATAATATAACAAATTGATGAATTTATAGTCTCTACTGAAGGCCGGCCAGGAAGGGCAGTAGTAGGGGCTAGCTGTACTTGCTTCTTTTGAACACGGAACACTGGTTTTTTGAGGCGAGTTGCGATAGCCTGTGCTATTTGGAGCATGCGATGCTTCGATGATTTTGGCAATTTATTAGGCACCCGGTAGATTTTAGGGAAGCATTCTTCAATGCTGGCTGGCTTTGTGTCCGGCCAGTTTGCACCAGATGGTCCAATATCGAACTGTTAATGGTTTTAACTGCACCTTTACCTAGCCATAGTGGGAGATGTTCTCGAGCGTGCACGAAAAATCAAGTTCCTAGAGCAACGACTAATATAACTCACTTCATCACAAACGCAGTTGAATTGGTAGATACAGTTTGAAGTGGCCAGCTAGTCTAGGTACTTCATCTTTCAGTCGAGGTAGCACCATCGGTCATGTAGAGAATGAGACGTGTAGTTCGCCAGCATTAAAAGTTCTTTAAACTGATTTTCTCAATTTCCTCGTAATTATCTCACTTGGTATACCGCTCTTGAATTGCATACATTGTATATATAACTGTAGAGCCTGATGAAGAGCAGGTTATCGAAAAGAGTACTCTTTGCTCAATATCCATTCTTTGTTTCAGGTCTGTAATGACTCCACCATCAATTCACGCTCCACCTTTTGTACTCAACTTATTTTCAAGTTAATATTACCTCCTCCTATTTACTACGCCTTAATCGGAACATATTTTGCTTTGAATTACCAGCTTCAGATAGATAAAGGAAAAGTAGCAAATAGGAGAAAAAAATAGTTTATTAGAAGTAAAAGTTAGAAATCAATACAACAAAGTACCTAATGACTTAAATAAATGTTTTACAAGATATACGTCGGTTATTTACAAACGATATATATATATATATAACGATCATTGTGTAGGCTTTGGATTTGTTCGAATAGTTCCCAGTTCGATGAAATCATCAAGCAGCTCTCCAAAAGGTGGTTGGTTCGTCGAAGACTGTGTTCTTTCACTTGTACTTGGCTGTTGAAATTAAAACAAGTTTTATTGTTTCAAGAGTTTTAAAGAATAAAGATAACGCTTACCAACGTATAAATTTTAGCTGCTGAACGCTCCTGTGTTTTCGAAATATTATTAATGTACACCAAAATTCCCTTCACTTTTTTTTTAACCAGATCTCAAATTTTGCGAAGTGAAACACTCTTTCGTAAGATTGTCTGCAAGTGAGCTTTATAGCCCCACAGGACAAGACTGTGAATGCACTACTTTTAAATTTCCTGTGGTCTTATTTATTTGTAAGGAATGTCATTAAAAATCTACAGGATGAAAATAAATTGAGGTTGAAAAAGCGATAGAAACTAGTGGATGAATCGTAGGTCATCGCATAAGTTGTCTTACTCGGTGGCCACAATGATTCTCTTCGTAATTTAGTGGTATCAAGATTTTAGGAATTTAGGTTGTAATGTTGCGAATTATATGTATTATTATATGTCTGATTCATGCCCAAGGCCATAGAAATAGACACAAACACGATTGTTGAACTAATCGGTGGCACAGTGGTTAGGACTCTCGCCGACCATGCACATGGTCCGAGGTTCGATCTCCTGCCGACGCACACCTGATATCTATGGTCGGCCTGCAAAATTTGGGCTACCGATATTATATGCTGAAAATTCCATAATTGTACCAAAAATACAGTGTGGAATCAAGCTGTAATCAAAATAAATAAATACTTGGTTGGTTTATTGTAAAGCCTATGAAGGTGTGAATAATTGTTTGTCATGTGTTTAATCCTACTGTTTGTATGACGACGTCACATACATAAGATAGTGTATATGTATTCAAATTAGTTACCTTGAAAACGATTGGAAAAGTTCATTCAAATTTCACTATAAAAAGAGAAGTCCAAAATAACCGTAAACATTGGATGCCACAGAAACAATGACGTGCTTTACAGTAAGTGTCAAATTTTGGTAACGCTGCTACCGGGTTGTTTTTCGGGCATCAAAAAAATATAAATCAAATGGGGGGGGGCTTGCTACTTACACAATTCTAGGTGGAATACACCTACAGTATCATTTGGAGACTGGGATTGTTTAGATTACAATTAGTACAATACATTATACCAATGATTGGTTGATGTGAGTAGTTGTGAACCAATCGCGCCGACTAGCAACGCTTGGCTAGCTTGATTGAAGTGCTCTATGCACCAGACAGTCGTTTCGTTCATTTGGGGACAGGCTCATCAGTGATGCACTTGGCTCGACTAGGCATAGAGAACTGAATCAGATTAAGCCACTCGAATTCTAGTTAGCCAATTGGGGGGTTGGGAGTAACACATTGATTTAAATTTGTCATTTGCAATTTACACAGTGATCTGTTTGATACTAGACTACACTGACAGCAACAACAGACACATGACGCTACAAACTATTGATTAATTATTGTGAGTAGTTGGATACCGCTCGTTGATGATACTTGCAAACAGTTTTACTGAATCATAGCGCCTGTAGTCGTGTCTTGTGAGTGCACATTCTTAGTTCAAAACGCATAACCAAATATGATTTATTAGGTTGAATGGACATAAGTATTGATAATGGATCATATAGTCGTACAACATGAAATTAGACACAGTCCCATTTCCACTTTATTTCTTTCCTTCACGTTCCCCAGTGGAACATATGGCTTCAAGCTAGGGGCTTGAAGTTTCTGTAGCAGTGTTTATTCTACAGGATGGGGTTGTTAGCCTCATGGCCAACCTTTCCTCTTTACCAGCATTATTTCTGGCTTAGCGAGGTAAAGGAGTGCGTCACTGGCCGGGGATCGAACCCCACATCATGTGCATGGTCGGCGAGCGTCCTAACCGCTTTGCCACAGACGCACACCCATTTCCACTACACTCCGAATATCTGTTGAATCACAAATCATAGAGTAATTGCTCCTATTGGTGGTATTGAGCTGAAAAATACAGACAATACATCATCAAGCGTCGGTGGCATAGAGGTTAGGACGCTCGCCGACCATGCACATGGTCCGGGATTCGATCCCCGGCCAGTGACGCACTCCTTTACCTCTCTAAGCCAGAAATAATCCTGGTAAAGAAGAAAGGTTAGGCATGGGGCTAGCAACCCCATCCTGTAAAAATAAACACTGCTACAGAAACTTCAAGCCACTAGCTTGAAGCCCTATATTCCACTGGGGAACGTGAAGGAAAAAATACATCATCAAAACTATTTGACAAGACCGAGTTTGATCATCGAACAATATTACCCTACAATCAATGTGGTACTGGCGAACCCCAGCTGTTAGTTTTGAAGCACTGCGAAGCATCACTATACCTTTTTCAGATTTGTCTATGGTGTATGTCTGTGACGACACAGAGCAGTCACCATCCGTTAATCTAATGCAATATATATTTATTTCCAACAAAGTATACACGTACACATAACTTTTATTTCGCTCTTACATACGTGAGAAACACCTCAGTGGCATAAAACGTGTTTTACGATGGAATCTAACATTGAAAGCTCCCCTTCCTGACTTTCCAATTCATAAGTGAATTAAATTGCCTTTACTACCTTCGAGTTGATGTGTTCAAAAATTCTATCTATATCTTGTGTTCTAAGTACAGTGAATGTGTCATCTACATACCTCCACCATACTTTTCGGATGGGTGGAGGTGAACGTTTCAATCGCTATGTTTTCTCACCTATTCATGAATATATCTGCTACAACCGGGGAAATTGGTGATCCCGTGGCAAGTCCCTCAGTTTGTTGGCATGTTTTCCTTCGGAATTTAAATACTGTGGAAGTCAGGCATAGTTGTAATCCCAGCATTATATCCTCAAGTGGCACTTTTGTTCTAAGTTCAAGTTCTTGGTCAGAAGTAAATTGGTTTCTGACTGCCTCTATAGCCAGTCATCCCATCCTATTTCAGTAAAAATAGGATTTGAAAATTCCTATTCAGTCATAGAAAAGAAAAGGTGTTCAGCAAAGAGTTACTCTTTTCGGCGATATCATTCTCAAGCTGTACAAATCGCAAATTTATAGTAATTTGTCTTGGCAACAAAAGGAATATTTCCAAAGATGTGTTAATGCAATTGTTAATTTTTGAAAAACAAATTACGTAATTTAGAAGGCGTTAATCGGTTGGAAACTAAAATAAAGTTACAAAAGTAGGCTGGGTGACGTAATCTAATTGATAGGGTTCAATGAAAAAATGAATGAGAGTTAAGTTAATAAGCTGAGTAGAATTCACTTAAAAATAAACGAAAATCGAGTTAGCAACAGTCGTCATGAGCGTAGAGATTTAATAGAGGGTGGGGGTAGAAAATAATGCAATTAAGAAATAGACAAACAAAGAAGAAAGAGGTAAGACAAAATTACGTATTTGGTGTTAAGATAGATCAGGACCATTGTAGATTTAGTGACTGAACAAACTTCTTTTGTATGCAGAGTTCAGGATTCAATATGTGAATTGCCATTGCTTCTGCAGTTTGAAGAAGTTTAATTCGTACTCTTTTGGCAAGATTCCGACGTATTGTGTAGATAACTGAGAAGTTGTTTTGTGGGTTTGCTTGGTGTCCGGATTCGATCAAGTGTTCTAGGATAGAGCTGTGGCGGGGGGATCTTCTTTCTCCTTTATAAAACCATGAAGGTAAGTGTTCGCTGATTCGTTTGGATAGCAAACGCTGGGTACGGCCGACATACCTAGCTCCACATGAGCAGGTGAATTGGTAGATGCACATTGATGAGGCCCCCAGTGGAAGCTTATCCTTCACGTTCGTGCGAATCATTGGTTTCGTAGAGAAAGTTAGTCTGAGTTCCGCTGCGAAGAAGGTTTTCTTCAGTGAACGGCACAGGCGGTTTCTCAGTATTTCTGCTGAAGAATCTCCGTTGAATTGTAGATTCAAATAGAGAAGTTTCTTGGGAGCAGTAAGCATGGATGGTTTTTGTGTTTTGGGCTTCATAGCTTTTGTGATGAAACGTTCCGGGTAACCGTTTTCAAGGAGGATTCTTTTCAGGGTCTTCAGCTCTTCTTCTATAGTTTCCGGACTGCAAATGTTGTGGATTCTGTGAGTCAGTGAGCGGATCAGATTTCGTTTTGTATATATAGGCACCCAACTGTGAAAGCTGATGAGTTGTCCATTCCATGTCGGTTTTCTGTGAATGGATCTTTTGAGTGTCCCATCTTGTTCGCGTCTTGCTAGTTGCACGTCCAGAAAAGATATTGTTGCGTTGGACTCCTTCTCTAGTGTGAACTGGATTGCTGGATGGCAACTGTTGAAGAAGTCCAATATGTTCTCCAAATTTTCCTCATTATTGGCGATAATAAAAGTATCGTCCACGTATCTCTTGTAGAATCCGAAGTTATCTATTATCTTCTTTAGGTGTGTATTTTCTAGTTTTTACATGAAAATATCTGCAAGCAGCGGGCCGAGTGGTGAGCCCATAGCTATACCATCTTTTTGTCTATATATTTCATTATTGAAAGTGAATTGGACGTTTAGAGTACATCTTAATAGGAGTTCCTTCAAATAGTCAGTGGGTATACCAATGTTCATCTCCTTTGAATCAATATATTCACATATATAGCATATTGTTTCGGTTAGTGGGACGTTTGTAAACAGTGATACCACATCTAGTGAGAACATGGTTTGATTGGAAACGCTGACGTTTTCAATGGAATTGACAAAATCGAAGGAGTCTCGAAGTGAGTGGCGGGAGATTTGCTTTCTGACTGGTTCTAGTATGTTCACTAGCCATTGTGCGGTACTGTGATAAGGTGAATTAGTCATATCGAGCATGGGTCGAAGAGGTACGTTTTTCTTGTGCACTTTTGGTAGTCCATATAGCCGGGGTATATTTGAGTCCGACGGTTTAAAAAATAGGATTGGTGAAATGTTTAAGTAATAGGGCACAAAACTAAGTAGTACCAAAGAAAATCTAAGACAGGAAGTGATACATAAAAGAGAAGCCTTGAAACTTAATAATTACCCGGATAAATTAGTCAGGAAATATGTAAGGAAATGTAAAAATAAAATAAATAATGATAGTAGCAATAGTGATAATAATAATATTAATGACGACACCAAGAATAAGAAATCTAAATCATCAGTAGTAATCCCATACAAGGAAGGAACCTCGGAAACCACGTTACGCAGAATTCCTAACAAGGCAGGAATAAAAGTGGCTGGCATTCAAACCCACAAACTCAATTAGAAACAAGCTTTTTCGGTTAAAGGATCAGTCCTGTGGAGTGTTTAAAACGAAACAATTTAGTTTATCTAATACCCTGAAATGATTGTCACGTCAAACTAGTAGAACAGGGGCAGTCAGACTAACCGAACATAAAAACCTAGCTAAATCTAGATTGGTTGACCCAAATAAGATAAGACATCTAGAGAAAAGTTCAGCTATAGCACTCACTACATGCAGTTACACACAACCATACAATAGGCTGGATGGGATAGGACGACAGTTTTGCAATCTAATGTCATAAGGTAGAGGGAGAGATTGATGACAGCGGAAGCTTTGTTTATCGAATCAACTGCAAACACGTGTAATAGGAATGATTCAACACCTGTCCACTCAGATATCTGGAAAATTCTACTACCCCTATGACAGATAGGAGAATACAAAGAAAACTATAAAACTCAAGTTTCAAAGTCGTGTGATTATAATTGATATGATAATGAACAGCAATAAATTTTGTTCGGAACCTTGTCATCCAGTAAATAATACTGTTTCACTGACTGTGTGATACATCTAATAAACAAACTAATATGGAATTACTTACTACCACAGTGCCCATGTTTAACATATATATTATTATTATTTAAAAATAACAGCGAACAGTAGTCTTTCAACAAATACTTTGACGCCTTTTAATAATAAAAAACAACATACAGCAAGTGAATTCCAATCCGTGCATTCGCCTCCATATCCATTATATTTACTTCAAAGCCTACCCTCTTATTATGTACAGTATGATCTTAACCAGCTTACTGCTGGTTGAAAGTCTATTTGACTATGCCATTAAACTGGGTTTAAGCGGGTAGGAAAAGAATTGTTATCGTTATCATCAGTCTTTCGAAAACGGAGTACAAAAACGATATTATTATAACTGTTCCCTTGGGTTCCTAGTGGAACATAAGGCTTCAACTGCGCGTCTCCACTTGCTTCTGTTTTCTGCTGTACTTTTCACCTGCATTCATGTTAGTCCATACTCTTTCAACTCCTTCAACACACGATCTCCATGTCACTCACCCTTGCGCTGACGTCCAACTCGCCGCTTACCTTTTGGCCTGGTTCCAATAGAGCAATGGCCTGACGCGCGCGCGATGTCACCCGGCGGCCTCCTCAGCGAGTGAGTGTTCAATCCATCTCCACTTTCTCCTGCATATTTGTTGTGGAGATAACTTCAAAAACGATAACTTCAAGTCAACAGTCATATTTCAAAAGAGATAGTAATGAGCGGTGTTTATTTCGTCAAACTTTGACGATAAATCTTACCTTATGTTTTTGACTTGCAACTTCTATATCCTGAAGTATTATATTATTATTGTGATTATTCTCCGAATAATATATAAGACAAAGGAAATTAGTCAACGAAAGGATTAACACATCCATCCAAGATTTTGTAAAATACATAAAAAACTCGGGATATGTTTTGGGATCCAGTGTGTACGGTAGAGCTAATGAAATGAAAAATTGATTAACTAAACAATGCATTTTACCACACCATGCCTGCCATTCTTCTCTTTCGAAACAGAACTGTGATGAAAGCGATTCAAAGAATTCAATCATTTTTGCCTGACGTTTCTTCATTTTAGCCTGTATTAAATACGTTCGAAAAACATGAACTTTCAGTTCATTGGCTGCGATTTGTTTGTCATCTGCAAGTCTATGAAATAATGTATTTTCTAAAAGATTCCATTGATTAACCAATTGATTTAAATTTGAATCATAAATTGCTTCTTGAATATGATCAACAATATCAGAAGGATGGAACTATAATAAATATATAAAGGTATTAGCAATGCAAAGATTACCTACCTTTGCTTTACTTTTTTCACTAGAGCTTTCAACTTCGAATGCGTTTAATGAGTCTTTAAAGTTTTTCGATAGTAAATACTGTCGAACGAAACGATTATAAACACCATCCTGCATTGTGACTGCATAAAAACAAAAGAATGTTTCGGGAATTAAGGAGAGGCTTTTGCTGTATCTGACTACTGTTTATGAGAAATGTAGAAAAATAACAGCAAAAGCTACATTGTCATCTTTTTCTCTAACCGAATTCTCCCGATCGAATTTCCTAACAGAAATAATGACTCAGGTGCTCTCTGATTAGTGCTAGACAGCTGAGAGAAAGATCAGTGTAGAACTTAGCATTCTGTGATGGTGCAAAAAGCAGTAGATTAACAACCTTGAAATACAGGAGATGTGAGGTACATGCTAGTGCTGATTATGCAGTCTTCCACGAGAAACAAATAATTGGCGAGGCTATCAACTAGTGCAATCGATTTGTCAACTAGTTTAAGGTTACCGACTAAATAATCGATCCATTGCAACAAATGTAATCAATACCGAAGGTTACAACATTGCTCGTGTAATAATAATCCTTTACAAGAATTTTTCAGAACACAGGATTATACACATATTTATTTTTCATGTAAAATTAATATCTATTTGGTGATTACAAAAACAACAGTCAGCATTTTGAAACTTGATAGACACATCTCCGAAATTTACATGAGGTTTTTACAGTTTTTCTAAGATTAACCAGCTGATGGTGGATGGTGACTAGCAGTGGAATCTAGGACAACACGCAATTAGTTCCATTTGAGACCCGTCAGGTGGATGTACCTGCATTCCCCAGTGAGTGATGATTTTTCCACTGAGGCTAGAACCCAGTGCCCATAGTTTTAAACGCCAAAAAGTTATCCACTAGACCACTTGGGCTACAGCAGTTCGCTCATTCCTCCTTTATGGCTAGCTGTGAGACCTAGCTATTGAAAGTGGAAGACGTAAAAAGGGCGGCTAGCTATCTTTGATCATAGGTGCCTGCGCTCTATCTCCCGTGTGAAGTGGTATAATAAGGTCAGCAATATTGAGGTTAGGCATCGGTCGAGTGCTAGGTAAGGAGGAAGGGGAAACCAATCGACGAGGCTGTGAAATTACATCGACTGAGATGGTTAGGACATGTGTTACGCACGAATGACTAGTCATCGCCTTTCTCGGTAATGGAAAATGTTAGCTGACACAGGATGGGTCAGGCTGGAAACGAGCTAGCACACGGCGGTCAAACCAAAACATGGCTTCACCAGTCAATGAAATGTACACCAGTTAGTTTAAGCCAGCCATGTAGGAAGGTGTAGACTTCCTAGTTGGGGTCCTCGGGACGGTAAAAACCAATGAAGGCTGGAGACAATTGGTGATATGGCTCAAAATCGTTCTCAATGACAGCGAAGATGCATCCACTCCTTGTGACTTATGATTTCAACTGAAACTATATTGTTCTTCGTTATTACTATTCCTTTGTCTCACACCTCTGTTTACTGTCTCTATTATGCATTTCTTCTTTCTTCTCTTGCTTTGTGTGTTACATGGAGTGGAGTGTGGCGACTTGAACTGGTGCACATCGGTGTAAAGTTCTATGTCGAAAACGGACAGACAGACAACCAGCTGATGATATATTTGCAATCAAAGTCAACACAATTGTGTCATCTGTATATTTGTGGCATATGGATGACTGATGCATTGAAATTTTGTAAATGTAAAATAGAACTGCAAATTTCGACCTCATATTAAAGGGGAACACAAAATACAGTTTAGCAGTCTACATACATTTAGCTAACTGGAACTGTACGATTATTTCATCCTCTTTATCATCTGCCAATTAATTAAGATACACACTTAACAAACTTTGATGTGGACCGAAAATATTTCAGTTTATCATAATAGGGAGCTGTTTCCATAATTACCAAACGCTATACGCTTTCGGATATGTACTTTGAAACCTCAGAATGTCATTGCAGAACATATATGAATCTCATCTATATAGCTATTGCAATTCAACAACGCATTTACGAAACTTAATTTGTAAAATAAAGATGTTTACCAACTGAAAGCAAATTGTGCTGGAAATACTACAATGTTACAATACTGGAATATGTTACAATATCATAAAAATGCAACTAAGTAATACACTGATTTGAGTAAAATCATTTGGTTGTATTCTTAATCGACGACACGGGATGAGGTAAATGACTTGTATCTTAACTTTTGGAACTAGTTTAAAGAGGCTATGTGAAACATTTATTTACCTGAATATGTACCATGAGCCAAAAAAGTCTACTGTATGACAAAATGTCTGTAAAAACTGTGATTATGGCAATGTTTGAACCGCTAGCTCAGTTACTGTATACCTAATTGTTATGAGACCTAGTATCTTATGACATACTTGGGTAGTTATAATCCGCCGTATTAGACTAAAAGAAGAATGTGATATCACTTTCAGAACTACTACTTCACGCCTTCTCCACTTCGCTTGCATGCAATGCACTTGTTTTGTTATTATAACGGGCTATACGAGATTACAACATTTTGCAAGCTTAAACCAACTAAAGCTGCTGAAATCTGTTTATAAGTCAGATAAACATCAGATCTGGAGTCTTAAGGTTAAATGTCTTGGCTAGAGACTGTAACAGAGAGTTCATAGCCAACTAGGATAGATATTACAGATACATGATTATTACTGGCTACCGACTTCAGGTCATTCACGGTACGATAAATTAGTGTAAGTCCCGACAAAGCCATCAATCGGCAGGTTAGAGGAATTGCTCCATTGTTCTAAAAGACAAACACCTTTAGGGTCAACAAAGTAAGAGGCAGATGCGAAACCTGGGAATTCCTATGTCTCTTTTGGCACATGTTGTCCTAGGTGTCGCATTAGTAAGTTCCAAAGGACAAATGACCTTAAATGGGAACGGCTGTTCTTAATTATTAAGTAGGCACATTTACGAAAATACTGCATAAAACTGTCACACAAGAAACCTCCTTCTGAAGTATGACAAAAATGCCTGTCACTTCTGGATTGAAGTTTCAATAGAATATTAACACCATATTCTATATATGTATTCGTCTAGGTCTTCTAACCTTCCCTCCAACAGTAATCTCTTGACCTAATTGAACGCGCAACTATCCCTAAAATAACCCTAATATTAGGGTTATATCTTACTTAATAGTTATTAGGTTACCATAGTCCTAACAAGTGACTAGCTTAAATACAAGCCAGACCTTCCCCAAACCTAATGAAAGCTTACCACAACGCCGTTTGATATCAAAACACCTCATTAAGCATATCTCACCTATGATTCTAGTGTCCCAGCTAGAATTTTCCTTGAGTGCACTGTAGAATCGTTGAGGGAAGTCCCCGGACGCATTCAACAACGTGGGACGGTGATCTGTAGTCTACCCCAACGATTCTGCAGTTCGCCCGAAGCCTGCAGGCTTCACTAACTTTCTGACTGAGAGTTCCTAGGTCGTTGGTGCTGTTACACTCCATTTGCACCTCCTGGTGCTTGAGTTTTGACCTGGTAATACATATATATATACCTACATTGCACTAATAATCCCGATTAGGACCAAAAAAATAAATACGCGTATTTATTTATTGACTAGAGGTTATTCTGGTGCCTCTGGAGTGAGGAATTGGGCTGGGAATTATCGATTTCTGTGGTACTGTTAGATGAAAACCAAGATCTAACATTACAAATCGAATAATTAAAGTCTAGAATTGGTAACAACAAAAGCAGTACCGTAAGACTTAAAATTTTGCTTTTAGTGTACTATTTCAATGTATCCAATATCCCATATTAGTTTGATTATTAAATGTATCACACAGTGAGACAGTATTGTATACTGTATATTGTATACTGTACAGTATACAATATACAGTATACAATACTGTCTCACTGTGTGATACATTTAATAATCAAACTAATATGGGATTACTTCCAATATCCAATATCGTTTTTACGAGCTAGTATAAACCAATTTGATTTCTTTGTGCTCGCTCTTGATTGTGAGGTATAGGTTCTTGATCTTCGGTAAACTTCTGCGTAGCTTGTCCCGCCACTCGACTGTCGTAGCTTTGGTTGACTCCAAAGGGAGTAGTGCTGGGATTAATTATATGTGGTTTGTAGTATGAGGTATGTTAAGACTGTTACTACTGTGATTGGAGTTGATCCTTTCGCCAGTTAGTCCTTCGGTATTGTCGACAAGAGAAAAGAGATAGTAATAATAATAATAATAATAGTAATAATAATAATAATAATAATAGATATAATTAGTGAAGCTATTCAGACTAAGAGACAGAAACGAAAATAGGAAACGTAACAACAGTCAGCTCATGAAGTTTGAAGAATAATATATATATCGGTAATAGTAATAATAATAATAGTAATTATAATATTAATAAGTTGTCAGGAGAGTAAGACGGGAGAGAATGTAAAGAAGTAAAATGACGAGTTTAATTATCTACCCTGATTGGTAAATGCGATTTTAAGGAGATAGGCCATTTGGATGCAGTCCTTGTATCGCTGCATGGTTGTCCAGCCTTCGCTTAAAGGCGTCCAAAGACGGTGCCATAGCTACATCTGCCGGTAAGGAATTCCAGGGACGACAAACCCGCAGTGAAAAGAAGTGGGAGCGCACCCGGGTCCTTGCCCTCTGGTGAGCTATCCTTCTGGGATTTCCACGTGGAAGCCTATACCTACTCAATGGCAGAACACCTTTGTTTGGGTGATTCTGGTCATTTGTTATTTTGTAGGCAGTAATCAAATCCCCCCTAAGCCGACGGTAACTAAGTGTGAACAGGCCTAATTTCTTCAGCCTTTCATCATATGGTTTGTTTCGGAGACCAACCACTCCTTTTGTTGCCCGTCGTTGGACTCTTTCCAAGAGGTTGGCATCTCTTCTCAGCATTGGGGGTGCAATAATATTATGCACCTCAAGGTGTGGCCTGACGTATGTTTTGTACAACATTAGAAAGAGCTCAGGAGTGAGTGCACCTAACTGTCTATGCGTAAAGTGTATGACCGCATATGCCCTCGCTACATCCCCTGTGTAATTTACGCTTGTGTCCATTTTTTCCGTTAGAACTAGACCTAAGTCGCGTTCCGACGTTGTGCAGGACAAGCTTTCATTGCACAGGGTGTAACTTGCATTCTGCAGTCTACAGGTGCGCAACTTCACTACTTTGCACTTTTTCAAGTTGAAAGTCATGCCACTGGCCACCGCCCAGTCTTCCAGAAGGTTTAGGTCTTCCTGTAGCCTATCTGAGTCCTCCGGACACTTTATCGCCCTCCATATTTTTACGTCGTCAGCGTACAGGAGAGTCGGGCAGCTCAGACGGCGTGGTAGATCATTGATGAAAATCAAAAACATCAGTGGTCCTAGGATAGAACCCTGCGACACTCCTGATGACGATCTGTGCCAAGATGATCGGACTCGGTTAACCTTAGTGCAAAATTGCCTGTCGGCTAGGTAGTCCTTCAACCATGACAGAAGTGGCTCACCTATGCCTGCCTGCTTATTTTATGTAGGAGAAGGTCATGGTGAACAGTGTCAAATGCCTTCTCAAAGTCTAGGAAGACCACATGGACTGGTACGTTCAAGTCCCAGCATGATGTCCAGTCGTCCCAAGCTGACAGTAGGTTAGTGACGCAGGATCTGCCTTTTCTGAAACCATGTTGGGCTTCATGCAGTATATTAGTCCTATCGAAATATTCCCTGATGTGGTCGTCAATAATACTTTCCAGTACTTTTGATACCACTGGGAGTAGAGCTACTGGTCTATAGCTAGCAGCGTTTTGCCTGTCCCCACCCTTGAAGATTGGAGAAAGGATGGCTCTTTTCCACTCCCTTGGCAGGGTCCCCGAATCCATTGAGTGTTGGAACAAGTCGCACAGGGGTCTACAGAGAGCCTCGGCGCACTGTTTCAGAACAGATGGCCTGATGTCATCACAACCTGGGGACTTCCCAGGTATGAGTCGCTGTAGCTTCCTTAGTACTATTGCGGGGTTTATTTGGGGAGTAGTCGCTAGGTCTTCCTCCTCTGAAATAGTGGTGCCACCATTTTGGTCCGTAACTGTAATATCCACATTGCTGTTTAGCTGTTTAGCGAAGGCTGAACTGAATGTTTCAGCCATCTCCAGACTAGTGAGATATTGACCGTTTGGGCCTACTAAGGCGCATGCCCCTTGGTTTGTCGGTTTTCTTTCCGACATGAATCGGTACAAGTTTTTAGGGTTTGATAGGAGTTTTTTAGCAAGGTTAGCCTGGAATGACCTTCTGTCCCTCCTAACTCTTGCATTACACCGGTTCCTGAGTTCGAGGTATGCATCATGGTCGGTCTGACTCTTAGATACACGCCACGTAAACCAAGCCTTCCGCTTTGCTTGCAGAATACGTTGCGTGCCTCTCTTCAACCATGACGTCTTTCTCTTAGGCTGTGTTGTGACTAAAGGGACGGTATCCGAGATTGCTGCATGGATAATCTTTTTTACCACTTCCCAGTGTTCATCCACAGATAGGTCGTCCCATGCTAAGGGCCAGTCTGCGTCGGACAAGAGCCTCCGCATTTCAGCATAGTCAGCCTTGCTGTAGCACAGACATGGTCGCGTAACATCCCATTGCAAACGCTCACGGAGGACAAGATCGAAACCTATGACTGCATGGTCACTGCTTCCCAGAGGAGTCATGATCTGGACCTTTTCGACGAGTAGCTGGTCACTAGTTAGAATATAATCTAGTTTTGATGACTTTCCACTAGGGCCCCACCTAGTGTCGTCTCCAACATTCTCAGTCAGTCCCGTGTTTCGAATAGTTTGCAGTAGGTTTCGGCCAAATTTTCCCTTAGCACACCCGGAGCCAAGGTTCAGTGATGGAGCATTGAAATCTCCAGCTATGGTGATTTGGTCGTAGCCCAAATCTCGTATTCCTGTGATAGTGCTGAGCAGTAGCTGATTGTGCTCTGCCCCACAGGTGGGAGATCGGTAGATGCCACCCAGTAAGTGCTTGGTGTGGCCTACGGTGAAATGACACCATATGGAGTCTGGGAGTTCGATAAGTGGTGGGTCCGTTGCGCGCACACATTTAAGTTGCCTATCAAAGTATATAGCAACTCCCCCTCCTTCCTTATTATCCCTGTCTCTCTGACCAGTACCATATCACCTATACTGATTTCATTGTCGGCGATAGTGGGGTTTAGCCACGTTTCAGTAAGAATGATTATTTTCAGTTGAAGGTGTGCTTGGAGATTTCGGAGTTCACCTACTTTCCCTCTCAGCCCCCTCACATTGCTATATAGGCAACTGACAGTGAGTCTAACAACCTCAGAGTGTTGTGGGGTAGTTGACGTGAAACCGTCTGCTGGTGGGGGACTTGATGTTGGAACTAGTTGGCCGATTCCGATAGAACCGGCCCGTTGTAGTTTTTTTCAATGGATTTAGGCAGGACACTTGGGAGACACAGACTATTATTCTCAGAGCTGCATCGCTCTAGTGTCACCGAAGCTTGGGGTCGTATTAAAGCCTCAGTTTGCTGCCTCCTTATATTTCTGGGTCTGCTTTCACAGCATCGGATGTGTCCTCCAATTTTTCCCTTGGTCTCATACCACCGTTGAAGTGATATGGACAACTGCTCCGGGGAGTTGAATGTGACACACAGCAGCTTTGGAGAGTTAATCAATGTTAGATGAGCGGGACGAGGTAGTCGGAAAATGGAGATGGCTCCAGAAGCGCCAGGGGCCATCTGAGATGACAGCCATCTCCATTGTTGTACGTCGTGCATGTGTTTTTCACAAGCAGTGCCGGTTTCCAGCTCCGGAACACCGTGTACCACCATAGAGGTGGAAGGCATCAGTTCCGGTGACTCCCTCGCCATATTTCTGACGGCCCATGGTCTATCTTGCCGCGCTCTTATGTTAGAACTTCTGTCCAGGGCTAGTACCTGAGCCATTAACAGTACTTTTTCGGCCTCTTCGGCAGAGTCCAGTGTAACCCGTAATGGGGGTGGCTTACCCTGAGGCGTGTGGACACCCCTGTACAGTCTGCACAGTTTTGCTGAACTAATGTTCAGACCTAGTTTGCCGCACAGGTTGGACCACTGTTCCTGATCAAACAGGGCCCGTTGTTCGAGCAAGCTATCCGTGCTCACAGGTACGTTAAAGAGGATGAGAGAGTTAGACCGACTACCCTCAGACTTAGGTTTTGCCTTCGGCTTCTTGCAGTCCTTTGCATCATTAGCAACATTAGGCTTCGTCGGTACCTGGACAGCCTTTTTTGTGTTGCCAGGCTTGCTAGTGGATGCAAGTGGTGCCTTTGTAATTTTGCCTTCCCCTGATGTGGATGGAACCTTGCTAATCTTCACCTTGTGAGAATTGGCATTTCCAGTCAGTAGGGCTGGTGTGTCCTTCTTTAAGTCTTTGACCAGTTTCGGCAGTGCGAGTTTAGCAGGGGGGAGCTGCATGATACTGTGTTGGGGCACAAGAGCGTGTTATTTCTGCTATCCGCAGACACGCTTTGTGGGACTATGCCAGGGCGACAAAGTGGACACACGTACCAAAACCATGGGCATGGGTTATTTCTCATAAACTCATAGTATGCTTTCGGTACTTCTTTGTCACAACGGCAGTGCACCCATCGTTTGCAAAAATTACATTCAAACGCTGAATCAGTTTTAGAAACTGTGATGTTGCACGCCTGGCATTCATCCCCTTTCCTTGATGACGCCTTCGAGGTCTTATGACGTCTTGAACGTTTCCTTTTAGGCTTGATGTGTTTCACACACTGGCCTACAGTTGATGCAGGTGTAGAATTCTGTCCTTCTGGTATTGCCTGTGCCGTTTCAGTACTAGACTGTGGCAATGCAGGCGTTGTATCAGGGCAGACTAAAGCTACACGAGTCTTTAGGATCGGTATGCGGGAAGGGGTTGAAATCCCTGGATTTTTTCCTTCCCTGGCTGAAGCCCTTGTGACTACAGAGTACGGTATTCTAGTGGCTTTTTTAAGGCTGCTTTCAACAACCATATTAACAATCACTATAAATTATGCTATGTACGTCTAAGAGAGCAACAGTTTCTAACCAAAAGAGCAAGAATAAGACTGAAAAAGTATAAGGCAAGGAAAAGAAAAGGTTTTCGACTTTACCTAGTACTTTCTGAATGATCGGCTTCACGGCAATCACGTGGTAGACCAACAAGTCTTGTTTCTCTGAACGAGTGAGGAAGATGCTGCTACAAAAGTAGCACCTGAAGCTTTGGCAGTAGTTCGAGACAGCTGGACTTACCACACAGAGATTTACTATGTAAGTAATGGTTGAATTAAATTCACCGGCTAGGAAGATCAGGTTTCCCAAACGGATAATTCACAGAATTGGTATTTTCCGGTTGGAGAGGAAAAAGCACGTCGTATTCAAGGAGCGCGCTCAATGTACAAATGCTTTGTGACAGACTTTGTTTCTTCTGATTTACTCCCTGATGTCGTGAAATGGTCGAGTCGTAAGAAGATCTTGCCAGAATGAATCGCTTGTCTCAATTTTGATGGGAAAAGTGGACAATAGAAAAAGGAGTGAATTGTACACGCTCTTGTTTAGTTCTGGCTATTGTTGTGTCTACAGATTAACTTAAAACCAGTTTATTCTGATTGAGGTTAGTTTATGTTTCAGTTCTGAGTCTGTTAAATCATAGGAAGTTGGGCCCTTATAACTTAATAGTTATACATATCCATTTTTGTGCACTCACTGGCTTTTTATCACTGATGTATAAAGGTTCCAATATCCAATATCGTTTTTACGAGCTAGTATAAACCAATTTGATTTCTTTGTGCTCGCTTCTTGATTGTGAGGTATAGGTTCCTAATCTTTGGTAAACTTCTGCGTAGCTCGTCCCGCCACTCGACTGTCGTAGCTTTGGTTGACTCCAAAGGGAGTAGTGCTGGGATTACCTATATGTGGTTTGTAGTATGAGGTATGTTAAGACTGTAACTACTGTGAATTGAGTTGATTCTTTCACCGGTTAGTCCTTCGGTATCGTCGTCAAAAGAAAAGAGACTAATAATATAATGACCTCATGGCTATATACCACAGTCCTGACTGCAGTGCAGATGACTTCCTAATAGAGTAGCTAGGCTCCTGGACCTCGAAATATCGAAGTCTCGTAGTCAGCAGCATCAATGCCCTTGCAACTCTATTGCAGTCAACTCCCTTGATCATAAACTGCTGGAATCTAGTATGTCGCTAGCCCAAGTTCATCATGTCATTTCGGCCCACTCCTCCTCAACTCTGGACCTAGTTTTCTTCCGCGGTGAGGATGTGGATCTCACACAACATTTTCCTCCTTTAGGAAGACGTGATCATGATATGCTCACTTTCAAGTTCATGGTAACAGCAGGAAGGGTCAGAACTCCACCTTGACCAAACGTTTGGAAAGCTGATATAAATGCGACCGTCTCAGCAGCCAACTCACTGAGCTGGTACATCTACCCAGAGTCCCAAGTAGAAGCCGCATGGAACCAATTTAAAAACTTTACGCCCAAGTAACTGAACATTTCATCCCTTTGTCTGTCGCAAAGGGTCAGAAACATTGTCCCCCTTGGATAAACCGAATGATTCGTAAGTTGCTTAGACGTAAACACAAATGTAGGAACCTGTTTGCAACACTTGAGACTCTTGAGACCAGGGAATAATAATACATTGCTAGAAATAAAGCTATTGCAGAAATCCGCCAATCAAGGGTGAAGTTCGAAGCACATCTGGCTCAAAATGCATAGGTATGACCTAAGAAAATTTTCTCGTACATGAACTTCAGGAATAAACCTCCACCGGTGTACCAAACCTGACTACTGACGATGACACAATCGAAGAAGATCAAGAAAAAGCAGAAGCAATAGCAGACTACTTCTCCCAAGTCTTTACACAGGAGTCGTCACTTTCACTTTCTATAGGATCAACTCTGGCTGCATCGAAGGAACACGGGATAGATTCCGTTGACATCAACTAGGCCATCGTGCTCAACTGCCTAGTGAAGCTAGATGCAGGAAAATCGATGGGTCCTGATAATCTTCATCCAAGGCTTCTCAAGAAGCTATCAGCTCACATAGCCGGCGCTTTGACCACAATCTTCAAGCTCTCACTCCTAAATGGAGTGTTGCCACATGACTGGAAAGACACCATAACAATCCCCATCCTCAAAAGGGGATCAGGACAGCGTCCTTCATGGCATATCTGGAAAACAACAAAATGCTATTCAGAGCTGAACACGGCTTCCAAAGAAACCTCTCATGCCTATCAAACTTCTTTACCACAACAGAATACCCGTTAAGGTCACCTTCATAGACCTCAGCAAAGCCTTTGATAAAGTACCTGTAGTAATTTATTGTAATCGTGGTATTAGTATTTCGAGATGACCGAATTACAAGAATCCAAACAAAACACAGAGAGGGCGGAGTTCAGGAATTCGTATTTAGCGGAATTATATTTCAATTCATATAAGAAATATCAACAATCAACAGTAAGTATTTAAACAATACAGAGATAGAAACAGTCAATCACCACATCCGCCACACGTCGAATGTCTCCCTGCGTATTTATAATGATATCGCGGTTTGCTTGCCAGTCTCTGCAATCTTCTAACTGATTCTGTGATATTATTTCCATCAGTATCATCTAGACTTGTTTCTGAATTATCTACAAAGTCAGGATTAGTAGCGGAGTCATTATAATCATAATCGGAACGACCTACCTCATTTATTCTCACTTGATCCAAGTGTCTGTTATGAATTGAATTATCTTCGATGTCTAATATCTTCACCATTCGATTTCCCATTCTTTGTAGTATGATACCAATAGAAGGTCTATAATCATTCCCTTTGTAATAATGTACATCAGAAGTCGTGGACATCAGATGCTTTCTGAGAATTCAACATTTGAATAGTTTTGCAGGACTTTCATGAGTACTTGTATGCTCCGCATTGCGATGTTGAAGTAAGAAGTTATCCACACATCTCTCCAGCTCATCGAAATTCTCATAATAATGTATATTCTCATATAAACATATAAATTTACACGAAAATGCATGCCATTTTTACAGGCACGATCAAGTATGATATAATATCAAATCGTAGAGCGTACCATCATATTCCCATCCACCCGGATGACGTTCCAAAAACTGCTATCACCACGCCATTCGGCTTATACGAATTCGTGCGCATGCCCTTCGGGCTGGTGAACGCCGCTCAAACATTTCAACGTCTCATCGACCAAGTACTCCGCGGCCTGCCCTTCGTCTACGCATACATTGACGACTTACTAATTGCAAGTGCAGACGAAACCGAGCATGTGAAACATGTCAGGACGGTGTTTGAAAGACTTCAGAAATACGGCATGACTATCAATTTAGATAAATGCGAATTTGGTAAGGAATCACTGAAATTCCTCGGTCACTTGATTGACAATCAAGGAATTAGACCAGTCCCCGACGATGTACAAGCCATCAAAGACTATCCATTACCAGATTCTTTCAAGAAATTACGGCGATTTTTGGGTCTAGTCAATTTTTACCGGCGTTTTTAATAATAATAATGTATGTTCTCATATAAACATATAAATTTACATGAAAATGCATGCCATTTTTACAGGCACGATCAAGTATGTTATAATATCAAATCGTAGATTGTCTACAAGTTAATAATGTTTCAACAGTTAAATATTTGATATATATATAAATACACTCATTGTCTGAACTAAGCTGTATAGTTATTGAATTGTACAATTGTCCTCCAGGTTGAGCGGGAAAATCGACTTCGTTTCGTTTTCATCCCGTGGTTGTCGGCATACGATAACCAACCAAAATTGAGGTAAGTACAACGTTTACAAGGGATTGAAAGCTGTTTTAGAAAAGTAAAAGTGCTGAGGTGAATCGATAAAGTATAATGAAATGGGTAAGTGCAAGTATCACTAAT